TTCATCCATACTCAAAAGATTCCACGTAGCGTGCTGGCCACCTGACATGCCGGCCGGATCGCGTCGTCCGCGGCTCGGCAGGCGGGGTAGATGCAGAGTTTGGCAGTCGATCTGCGGTCAACGATGACGGGGGATCTTTGCGTGGAGGTCGAACCATGGTCGATGATGACGGGATATCGTCGTGTGGTGGTGCGATCTCCGGAGTTGCGCAATCCTCTAAGAATGCAGGCTTTAAACGTTCCACACTGACGTTCTCACGCTTACCATTAATGTCAATGGAGAAAAACTTGTCAGTACGGCGGAGAACTGGGAATGGACCTCTGTAGGGCGGTTCCAAGGGTTTCCTGACTGCATCTTGGCGTAGAAACACATGGCTAGCAGAATGAAGGTCAGCATGAATCTGGGTACCAGCATGTAGTTGTTTGCGAGGAGGGGTGGGGCGTAGCTTACTCATCAGCTCTTTCAGTCTATGTACATAGTTCGCTGGATCAATGTCTGTGTCTGGCTTCGTCGGTTCTACGAATTGGGCAGGCAATCTAATGCTTGTCCCAAACACCAATTCAGCTGAGGAGCATCCAATGTCGGACTTGACAGCTGTGCGTATCCCCAATAGCACAAGGGGCAACACTTCAGTCCAGCGTACAGTGTTATATGTCTTGATCGAAGCTTTGAGCTGGCGATGTAGGCGTTCTACTAACCCATTCGAGGCTGGATGATATGAAGTCGTCCGAATACGAGTAGTGCCGAGTAGGTTGGTGAGGGCGAGGAAAAGTTTGGACTCGAACTGTCTTCCCCTGTCTGTAGTGATGGTTGCCGGTGTGCCAAAATTCGCCACCCATCCGGCCACAAAAGCCCGTGCTACCGTCTCGGCAGTAATGTCCGGGATCGGAATAGCTACCGGCCATCTGGTAAAGCGATCTACACAAGTCAAGAGATAGCTATTACCTTCAGAAGGAGGAAGTAGACCCACGAGGTCTATATGAACATGCGAGAATCGAGCATCTGGAGATGCGAACGTGCCCAAAGGTACTCTGGTGTGTCGATGAACTTTACACTTCTGACACTCCAGACAGGTACGCGTCCAGTTCCTGATGTCGCGCTTGATTCCCGGCCAAACGAAACGCTCTGTTATCACCTTCTGAGTTGCCCTAGCACCAGGATGTGATAATCCGTGGAGTGAATTGAAAATTGTTCTCCTATGCGAAACTGGCACTAGAGGCCTGGCACTCCCAGTGGAAATGTCACAAAGCAAAGTGGTGAGTGTGCCTGGAAGTGGTATCGACTCAAGCTTGAGCGAAGTGTCTGACAAGTCGGCTAACTCCTCATCATCCTTCTGTGATCGAGCTAAGGCAGCAAAATCGACAATGGAAGTTGAGTCGACGGCACCGATAGGCAGACGAGAGAGGGCGTCGGCTGCAGTGTTGTGCTTACCACTGATATGACGTATATCAGAGGTGAACTGTGAGATGAGATCTAGGTGTCGAATCTCTCGGGGTGAGTGTCTGCTTGGCTTAGCCTGCAAGGCGTAGGTGAGGGGCTTGTGATCGGTGAAGATGGTGAAAATCCGGCCTTCGAGCATATGGCGGAAATGTCTCACGCTCTGGTAGGCAGCGAGGAGCTCGCGGCCGAACGTGCTGTACCGAGTTGCTGCCGGCTGGAGTCGCTTGGAAAAGAAAGCGAGTGGCTGCCAAGTGTTGTCCACTAACTGTTGAAGTACTCCACCTAGCTACACCATAGTCTGATGCATCGACGAGTAAACAGAGAGGAACTCCAGATCGAGGGTGGACAAGGATAGAAGCGTCAGCTAAGTCCTGTTTAGCTCGATTAAAAGCTAAGAGCTCAGCTTCATTGAGTGTGATAGACTCTTTCTTCTTCTTCCTGCCTTTCAGTAGATCTGTCAAAGGTTGGAGCACATCAGCACAGTGAGGAATAAAACGTCTGTAAAAGTTCATGAGACCAAGAAATTCTCTCAGTGTAGTGAGTGAAGTAGGAGCAGGGAACTCCCGGATGTGTTCCACCTTGTCGTTGAGAGGACAGATACCGTGCTGATCCACGTGGTGGGCTAAGAAAGTCAATGAAGATACACCAAACTGACACTTGGAAGTGTTGATGACAATGCCATACTCACGAAGTCGATCAAAAAGTAGGCGGAGGTGTGCCACATGTTCGTCATCCGTAGTACTGGCAACGAGCAGGTCGTCGAGGTACACAAAGACAAAAGGGAGACCACGAACAACTTCATCCATCAGCCGTTGAAAGGACTGAGCAGCGTTTCGAAGTCCGAAGGGCATGCGAACCCACTCGAAAAGTCCGAATGGAGTGGTTATTGCAGTCTTTGGAATATCACACGGCTCGACCGGGATCTGGTGATAAGCACGAATTAAATCAATCTTAGAAAAAATCGTCTTACCACTGAGGCAGGATGAGAAGTCTTGTAGGTGGGGTATCGGGTAACAATCAGGAGTCGTCCGAGAGTTGAGGGCGCGGTAATCCCCACAAGGTCGCCAGTCACCTGGGGTCTTCTTTGGGACCATATGGAGTGGAGAGGCCCAATTACTGTCTGATGGGCGAATAATGCCCAGGTCTAACATGTGATCGAACTCGGCCTTAGCTACTCGAAGACGATCAGGAGCTAGGCGCCGAGGGCGACCTGTAACCGGGGGACCTCTTGTCTGGATATGATGAGTAGTCCCGTGCTTCACATCGTCGGGCTTGTATACCGGGCGAGTAATGTCCTGGTAGCCGCGGAGGAGAACGTGAAAGCGGTCATCAGAAACCCCTCTCACATACATGGGACTGATAGTCCCAGTGTAGGCGCTGAATCCACACACACTAAGACTGGTTTTAGTGTCGATCAACCTGCGATGTTGCACGTCTACGAGTAAACCAAAGTTAGTAAGAAAATCCGCTCCTAATATAGGCGTCTTCAAATCTGTGACAATAAAAATCCAGCGAAACACTCGTCGCAATCCAAGATCCAAAGTAAAAGATCGCTCACCGAAAGTGTTAATCGGCGAATGATTGACTGCTTGAAGTTGGATCTTCGACGCTTCGACCGATGAAAATTGAGATTTCTCCAACAGTGACTTGGGAAAAATACTCACTTCGGCTCCTGTGTCAACCAGGAAACGCTTGCCCGAGTTCTTAACAAGAATGAAGAAAAGACGACTATGAGGATTGCTGCCAAGGGAACTTGTCGCCGCTATTCCTTGGCTAGTTCGTTTCCCTGTGGGTATGACTGGGAGGTTGAATACGGTCTCGAATGCGATGTCGAAGGTCGGCGGCTGGACGAGCACGGGCTCACACACTTGCGAGCTCTGTCACCATAAGTCCAGTGATACCAGCACTCACCTCCTTGATGACGCTGTTGTCTCCGTGGACTCTTAGAGCTGGAAGGACGTCGAACTGGACGAGATGCATCTCGATGCTGACTTAATTCGACTACGACGATCCTCCTGGAGGGAAGAAGTCAGAGCTTGCACCTGTGCTGTGAGTTATGTGACCTGCCTGGAAAGCTGTTGAACCTCCGCAGAAACTTGTGGAGGTGATGAGGAAACAGCACTCCCACGAGCCCCAGTAGTACTAGCAGGCGAGAAATCGACAGCAGAAACAGAAAGTGGGGAAGAAATCTCCAAGATTCTATCCGCCAACTCCGCCAATTGTTCGATGGAGACTGAGTCGGATGACGAAGCAAGAATAATTCTGACATTATTCGGTAGCCGTTGTAGAAACAGTTGCTTCAAAATACCTTCCTCCAAAGTAGACTCTCCGAGTAGTTGACGCATGCGACGAAGAAGTTGAGTAGGCTTGCGGTCACCTAACTCTTCCGCATTGAGGAGCTGGTGAATTCGCTTCTGTTCGGAAACGCCGGTTTGTTTGACGAGTTCAGTTTTCAGTTTATCATAGCGATCCTTAGCAGGGGGGCAATGATGAAGTCCCTGACCTCCTGCGCTACTTCAGGCTGTAAAGAGCTAATGACGTGGGCAAATTTCGTCTCTTGTCGTGTAATAGCCCGCGTCAAAAACTGCGCCTCAACCTGGGCGAACCAGAGTGCCGGGTCGCTCGGCCAGTACGGCGGTAGCTTGAGTCCGAAAGCAGTAACAGCTGGCCCGGTACTGCCCGATGCCTCCGGGGCCGCGGCGGAGTCGGAGTCGAGCATTTCCGCTGGCGGTGATGTCGTCGTCATCATGCACACAAAAGAAAATATCGCTCGTAGAAGAACAACAAAAAATTCGGGGTCACCAATGTAGGAATACATGTTGTGGATAAACTAAATGAGTATTCTTACCGTTATTAATAATTATCCGAGCTGATATCTTGAGTGTAGAACGAAACTGGAAAATGAATCAGGAAGCGGAAGAATAGTGCGATATAGCGAAGGGATGAATCAGCACGTGGAGCGCGACTAGCTAGCTAGCGAAACGCGAATATAATGAAGGCACACAAACTTACAGTTCACACTTTCCGAAATTAACTTGAAGACATAAATCTAATTTGCGATGGAGTCCTCAAAATAAAACGATGATGATAAAGCTCACTATTAATGTGAAAACCAATGAGATAACGCTTGTTGAATAATCTGCAATCGTCCTATAAAACACGTCCGATTGTAGAAACTGAAGATAGGAGAAGTGAGTGAAATAAGTGTGTGGAGACTTTTCCAAATGCTCTAAAGATGTGATGATTGGCTTATTAAAACAATAAGGTGCGATCCGATTGGATTAACTAAAATAACACTCTTGTTGCTGGGTGGTTCCATTGATGAAATAAACTAAGAGAATGTTTAAAATGTGCAGCTGTAGAATGTTATTGTTATTGAAGCTGGCTGAACGGAAAGTGCTAACGAAAGGAATGCTTGAAATGTTAAGTATATACAATGTTGATAAACATTCATGACCTTAGTAAAGTTCAAGTCACTACAACATTATAGTGATGCTACAAATTGTCTATGTTAAAAGTCTTCGTTTTGTTCTTGTGAGTTATACAGTTAAGTATAATAGTCATGTAGATTCCATAGGAGGAGTTTGTATTCTCTCGTTACGAGGGGGGTTTGCGATTTGTGGCAATGGTGTATCATCGTAATCCTCTGTTGCAGCATGAATGTCATGCTGACCTTTTAAGACTTTGAAGTGTGATGAGTTTCGCGTTATGCGGTAGGAGCCACGAGATGCAACAATTTGCGAACCCTTGATTGCTATGACCTTCAATGGTCTGGTGTCGAAAGGAGTGGTGTATTTACCGATATGCCCATCACGCTTTACAAGGACATGGTTACCGACTCTTATTTCCGATTCTCGGATTCTTCGATGCTTTTCCGCGTTTACCTTCTGCTTCTGCTTCATGGACTTATCGCGATTGCGAATTTCGCTGTCATGTGCTGCTTGCGATTGAGGCTCAGGTAAGCGAGTGAGGATTGGACGCTGGAACATTACTGTAGCTGGTGATGCCCCAGACGTTCTATGTGGAGTAGCTCGGTAGTTTCTCAGAAACGTGAACAGCTCTTGTTTCCAAGATTTACGCTCGGCTGTTGCTGTGCGAACAACTTTCTTTAGAACTCGCATGAATCGCTCAACTTCTCCATTGGCTCGTTGCCATCGCGGTGTGACTCTACGATGCCGGAATCCTAAATGTTTCGCGAACTTCATGAAATATTCGCTGTTGAAAGGTGGTCCGTTATCAGTACGGACAACTTCTGGAATACCGAACAATGCAAATATGCGATCCAAATGTGGGATAACCGCTTGACTAGAAGTAGATGTGAGAATTTCAACCACTGGGAATCTGCTATAATCCTCGATATTGACAAGAAGATGCTCTCCGGTTGGAAGATCTGAGAAATCTATGCTGACTTCTTTCCAAGGATGTGTTGGAAGTGCTGACATTTGGATAGGTTCACGCGTAGTTGAACTGCTTGTTGCTTGGCATGGAATACATTGACTGATCTTTTCTTCCACGCGTTTGTCGATACCTGGAAACCAAACTTTCTCGCGAATCAGCTAGTTGGTGCGAACGACACCTTGGTGTCCTTGGTGTGCAATTGTGATGATGCGATCGCGAAGGATAGACGGAATCACAATTCTGTGATCACGGTGTAGCACTTTTCCATCTTTTGTTACGCTGAGCTCATTCTGTACGTTTTTGAAGCTTTGTAGATCTGGTGTAATTGAGTGCCAGCTATTCCCTTCGACAGCTTTGATACATGCTTGCAAAACAGGATCCGATGTGGTCGCTGCAATTATCTCATCCATGCTGATAGATTTGGGCACTGCGTTATCAACGATGAAGTTGATGTGCTCTTCTGCGTTTGGCTCAACGGTTGATGTGCTAGGTGACTGATGTCGCGACATATAGTCGGCCGGGTTGGTTGCACCTGGTTGGTATTCTAGCAGAAAATCGAAATGCTGAAGGTGTAGCATCCATCTTTCTATTCTCGCTGGTGACTGTAAAATCGCTGCCATATAAGTAGAGGTAGAAGTGTGTAATTCCCCAAGTTACTGCTAGCGCTTCACGCTCGGTTTGTGAATACCGCTTCTCGATATCTGTAAGCGAACGGCTCGCTAGTGCTACGAGTTTGTTGCTTTGGTCACTGCCTTGTACTAGCATAGCACATAGCCCTACGGGACTAGCATCTACAACGACTGTGGACTGAAGACATGTGTCGAAGTATGCCATCTGACAGTGCTGTGCTATTGCATAATTGATGTCATTGAAGGATTTGGCGTGACGCTCTTCCCTTGACCATAGAACGCTCTGTCTGGTCAGATCACGAAGTGGTTCAGATAGTGATGCAAGGTTTGGAATGAATCTTGCACAATATGTTGCTAACCCAAGAAAACTTCGGACTTCTTCCCGATTGCTAGGAGGTGCTGCCTCGATCAACGATTGGACTTTCGTGGGACTTGGTGATACGCCTAATGAGCTGAAGATATGCCCAAAGAATTCAACCGAAGATTTGTTGAACTCGCATTTATCGCCATTGAGAGTTAGGTTCTTTTCTCTCAGACGTTGCATACACTTCACTAGCCGCTCGTTGTGTTCTTATGTCGTCACTGATGTTGATCACGCCTCGGAGACCTGCCAGGGCTGACTGTATCAGATTTTGGAATTGTTCTGCTCCGCTATTCACTCCAAAATTCAATCTCTTATACTGATACAAGCTAACATGAGTGGAGAAAACAGTGAGATAGCGTGATGCCTCGTCTAGTTCGATCTGGTGATATCCACTGTTTAGATCCAGCTTGGTGAATACGGTTGACCCATTCAGCTTAGCTAATATGTCGTCAATGGTTGGAGCGACGTGCCGCTCTCTCTCGATAGCTTTGTTTACGGCTCGCATATCAACACAAACCCTGATTTTTCCTGGTTGCTTTGGTTTAGGCACAACTCGAATTGGAGAGACCCATGGTGTGGGCATATTCTGCACAGGCTCGATAATGTCCAATTCCTGTAAGCGTTTCAGTTCAGGTTAAATATTATACGTGGAAAGGTATCCTGCGATGTGGCTGAGTAACAGAATTATACACGTGTAGTTTGCATGTGATGCCTGCTAGCTTGCCTATTCCCACGAACCGATCACTGAATTCGTCGATGACTGACGGTGCTACATGAACATTGTATGTAACAGCGATCATGTGGAGCTCTTTCGCAGTGTTCAAGCGTAGTAGAGTGGGACCATTGTGCTCCGTAATGAAGAATACAGCTCTTTGCATCTGCGCTTTGTGACGTACTGGCAGAGAGAATTTTCCAAGAACATCGATGGGACTATTGGCACCAAATGCATAGACTTGCTTGCCTGTAGGTTGGAGAGGTGATTGTCCTAATTTGCAGATTGTGTTCAAAGTTTCTCGACTCATTATCTTCACTGACGTACCTGTGTCAACGATAGCTTTAGTCTTGACATCATTGATGAGCACAGATACTTTGAGTAGTTCATTACTCTCATCTGATGGACCTATGGCAAATAGACAGTCATCGTTAGTTCACTCACTTTGTGCTGCTTGGAGAAATGGTTGTGACTGCGAGTGTTGTGTTGTCTGTTCTACAAGGTTAATCTCTGCTTGTTGTTTCAGCTTGGCTTTGCACACTTTCGTAAAATGATTTAGCTTGTTGCAGAATAAGCAGGTTTTTCCTTGTGCTGGACATGGACGATCAGTATGAGGGTATTTGTCACCACAGTTACGGCAGATTGTTGACTTTGAGTACTGCTGTTGTTTAGCTTTAGCGGGTTTCTGACGGTTTTGACGTTCGTGCTCATAGTACTCTTTGCAATCTCACTGGCATGCGCAGTGGCTGCTTCAGCTGCTCTAACAATTGTGATGGCTTGGCTTAGGGTCAGGCGTGCTTCACGGAGAAGGCGTTGACGAATGTTAGCATTTCTCATGCCTATAATTATCCTGTCCCTAATGAGAGATTCTGTCAATGTTTCAAATTCACATGTTTCTGCTAATGACTTTAGAGATGTAACAAATCTCTCAAACGTTTCACCCTCTCTTTGTACTCCCGTGTTGAATATGTACCGTTCATATGTTGAATTAGCATGTCCCTTACAATGTACTTCAAACAAAACCTACATGTGTTGCAGTACTTATTGTACATTACAAACCCTCTCTCAAAAGGCCCCCAAAGTCGATGTTCGGGGCAAAGGCTAATCTTTACAAAAGGAGGTAGAAATTTGTCTTTTCTCGTACACCTAGCTAGACAAGATGATTACATACACTCATCATTTTGCACCCGAAACAAAACAACAACAAAAAAGTTTGAAATACAAACTTTCATGATTATTATTTTTTTTTTCTAACTTGGGCGCTGGGTTCTCGAGCATACTTATAGAAAGAAATATTTTCCTAAAACTGTACAATTTATGCTAAGGCCCTGAAAGTGTGCAGGTAGGGGCTTTCCGTATAAAGGGGGAGAGGTAAACTCGTGTTTGTCGCCCGGCACGCGTAACAAAATTAATATACAGTACATGTAATTCATCTAAAAAAAATGCAGTATATCGATATTCTTTAAGCGCTTTATGCTACATCTATTTCTTTTTCCTTGCACCTATGTAAATCGCATTTTATTTAATGGAATATTCTTATCCGTGTTCCACTGTAATAAAGGGGGTAGGGCACGGTCAATTTCGCCACCCCTCTCACAACACACACAGTTTCATTTCGCTGAAAGCTCTCTCTGCTGAGGATGGCAAATGCTCAATCTCATTATGATAATTTTGAAGTAGGCTGTGATTTGTCTGTGTATGTTAATATAGTCTCGATTATAATAAATTATAATACCATAGAAGCGTGTTAAGTTTTTTTTTTGCTCGGTCGTTACGCTCACTCGCCTCACGAACCAATGTTATCCGGTTGTTTCGAAGTGATAGACGCAAAGAATACTTTCCATCGATCCTCCTAACAATCATTAGATCGATAAATAATAATAAACTTGATGAACTTTATGCAACGATGTAGGTCAATCAAGCTGACTTAGTAGCCGTGACTGAGACATGGTTTTCGGATAGTAACCCTGCGGAAGCCAACGAAATGAAAGGATACAACCTTCTCCACAAGGACCGAACTGATAAACGTGGTGGAGGTGTAGCTCTCTATGCTAGAGATGATCTCCAACTTTTGGAGCAGAGCTTACACCTTGAAATCCTCTGGGCTAAAGCAAGTCTTCGCAGTTACGTCCGGAACTCTGTAAACCTCTTCATTTGTGTTGTTTATGCACCACCTAACACACCTATGAAGGAAGAGATCATCGACCACGTCATATATATGAGCGACTATATTCGTAACTCTTTCTCTGATGCTGCTATTGTGATCCTTGGTGACTTCAATGCTCTAGATACAACCCCGTTTGTGCGACATCTCAATGTCGATCAACTTATCAAGCAGCCTACTAGACAAAACCGGATACTTGATATGATCTTCACTGACAGGAGAGATTTTTACAAGGAACCTCGGATAACGGCCCCCATCGGACGTTCAGACCACTCTACAGTTTTGTTGTTTCCAGAGATTTCCCGTCCTACACTTACGACCAGATTTAGCTATCGTCCCATGCGCGACTCAGGCATCAGATCATTTGGTCGTTGGATCACTTCTTATGACTTCAGCTACCTGAATGATATGAAGTCACCTGACGATATGGTCCGATCTCTTCAGAATGTTCTAGATCAGGCATATCGTCAACATTTCCCTCTCGTTGTTCGTAAGCGTACAGCGAACGACAAACAATGAATCAATGACAAGATAAAAACGACATCCAGAAGAGACAACGAGCCTTTGAAAGGGGTGATTTGGCTTCTTTTAGGAGTATTCGCATCCAGATTCAGCGCGCAATTGTGAAACTGAAGTCTACGTTTTATCGTTCAAAGATCGCAGCGATGAAAAACTCAAATCCTGGGACCTGGCACCGTCAAATACGCTCTCTTGCTGGTTTGAATAAACGGACTTCGTACATTTTTCCAGATAACTTCGGCATGAGCCATTCTCAGTAGGCAAATCACATCAACGACTTTTTTGCAGGTATATGCTTTGAACTACCTGCTCTTTATACCACGACTAGCCTGGCCTACCTACCTGCAAGAAGACCACCACCCGACATTCAACGCTTCAGGGTCTTTCAAGCGCTGAAGAAGCTTAATCCATCTAAAGCTATCCATCCTGAAGAAACTCCTGTTCAACTGATCAGAGAATTTGCCCTGGAGCTCTCTGCTCCGTTATCTGCCATCTTCAATTCTATTCTGAAGTCGGGTTCTTTCCCATCGCGTTGGAAATGTTCCGTTGTAACACCGGTACCTAAAACCTACCCAGTTAGAAGCTGTTCCGATTTGAGACCCATATCGATAACTCACGAGTGTTTGAAGGTTTCATTTCACTGTATCTGATGAGAG